TCATAGGAGAGTTCTGAGCAAAGAAATGTCATGATTTACCTAAAAAAAGATTATTGAGGAGTTGGGCATGTGGTTTAGTGGTAGAGGGCTTGCCTAGCATGCATGAAGCCCTGCACTCAATTCCTCAGTACCACATAAAAAGAAAAAGCTGGAAGTGGTACTGTGGCTCAGGTGGTAGAGGGCCAACTTTGAGCAAAAGAAGCTCAAGGACAGTGTCCAGGCCCTGAGTTCAAGCCCCAGGACTTGGGAAAAAAATATTATTGAGCCAGGCACTGGTGGTTCACACTTGTAATACTAGGTGCTCAGGATCAGGGTACTGTGATCTGAACCCAGTCCCGCCAGAACATTTCATCAGACTACTTGCAATCAGCTAAAAATCTGGAAGAGAAGTTGTGGCTCAAGTAATACATTGCCAGTGTTGAGCAAAGAAAAAATCTAAAGGACAGCACCCCAATCCTGATTTCAGGCTCCCAAACCAGCATACAAACACATGCACAAATGTTACTTAAAACTAGCAGCATAAATTAATTACAAAAAGGGTTTCATTGTGATAATTAAATACATGGATGTAATGTACTTTGATCAAATTCACATTTTGAAATTACTCTCTTTTTTCAATATGACTCTTTTTTTTGGGGGGGGGGTCCAGTCATGGGGCCTGAACTCTGGGCCTGGGTGCTGTCCCTCAGCTCTTCAGCTCAAGGCTAGTGCTCTATCACTTGAGCCACAGCACCACTTACGGCTTTTTTCTTTTTGCTTATGTGGTGCTGAGGAATCAAACCCAGGGCCTCATGCATGCAAGGCAAGTGCTCTACCACTGAGCCACATTCCCAGCCCAATATGGCTTTAAAAAAAAAATTCCCTCCTTTCTCCTTCTGATATTTGAACAGTTTTTAACTGGGTTTTGCTGTGCTGCTTTCATACATACAAATAATATGCTTTGATGACAGTCATTGGCAAAGTCTTCTTTCCCTCTCTTCCCATCTGCTGAGTCTCTGCCAAACAGCACCCTCTCAATATGGTATATATTCTATTATTATTATTATTACAATTTTGAGTCTAAATTTTGCATGAGTCACAACATGATGTTTGTCTTTCTGAGTCTTATCTCACTCAACACCACGACCTTCATTTCCATCCAATTTTTTCCTAATGATGTAGCATGAAGAATAGGCACTGGGAAGAGGAGAGGATAAAGGCAGGCAGAACAGTGGGGTAATAATTGTAATCACTGAGGTGAGAGAAAATGAGGGTTTGAAAGAAAGAGGCAGTGTGAAGGGATCACATTCAGGATACATTTCAAGGCAGAACTGATAGCATTTGCAGAATCTTTGGATATGGAGTGTGAGAAGGTGAGCAGTCAGGAACAGCACCTGGTATGGTAACCTGAGCAACTGGTGCATGGTAGGAAAAGAAGTTTGGCAAGCAGTGACAGCCATCAGGGTTGTAGGGCTGTGTCTACCTTGAAATGCAATTTGATGGCATCTGTCAGAGTGGACTTAGGTGTCTGTGGGAAGGTCTGGGTAAAGTTAGAGGGTCATCTACTGGGTGCTAGTAGCTCGTACCTGTAATCCTAGCTACTCAGAAGGCTGAGATCTGAGGACCATAGGTTGAGCCACCTTGGGCAAGTCCTTGAGACTCTTATTTCCAATTAATCATCAAAAAGCCAGAAGTCATCATGTAGCTCAATGGTAGAGTGCTTGCCCAGACCCTGAGTTTAAGCCCTAGTAACATGTGCATGTGGATGAACACACACAGACGCATACAAAGACACACACACACACACATACACACACAGACTCAGGGTCATTAGTGTGCAGAACTTGAAGCTGGTAGAGTGAATGAGATCATCAGAGACTATGTGTCAACAAAGAAGAGAAGCAACAGGAGTTTGAGAGGGAGCAACCTGATGAGGAGATGAGGTAAGTTTCAGTGAAGAGTTTAGGCTTTGAGGTTGATTTTGTCTTTGGGATGATCTTTCCATTTCTCATTTCCCTGCGGTCCTCAGACCCCATTCCTTTCATTTTTCTCATCTCAGATAACATTACTCTAATTCTCTGAATAGTTGCTGTCTGTCCCCATATCCTTGGCCTTGACTGGCAGCATCAGCACCACTTCATACCTCAAAAAAATGGCAAATGGCTGTGCCAGATACTGTGACTCATTAATCCTAACTACTCAGGAGGCTGAGATCTGAGAATCACAGTTCAAAGCCAGTTGTGACAGGAAAGTCCATGAGAGTCTTTTCTCCAATTAATCCTCCCCCCCCCCAAAAAAAAAGTTGCAAGTGGAGCTGTCGATCAAGGGTACAGCACCAGACTTGAGCAAAAGAAGCTCAGGGATGGTGCCCAGGGCCTGAGTTCAAGCCCCAAGACAAGCATTAAAAAAAAAAAGGTAAATGGCCAATATCCATCTGCAAGTGAGAACTTCCGGGAGCAGAGCTCAGCAGGTTGTGTCTTGCCCTTGTGTTTTGATGCACACTGAAGCTGGGAAGCCACTGCTTTTCAGGAAGGAGCTGATGGACTAAGAGGACAGAGGAGGCATGCATTATTATCTGTCTCTGGGTCAACTATGTAAAATCAAAGAAATAAATAGATTTTTAAGCTCAGCCTGTGGACCACTGTTGAGATGTCTTCACAGAGATGGACAGGGAAGTTTCTTCAACGCAACAAATTATAACAAGATGCCACTACCCAGCCTGTCCTTTTCAATAGGTTCTATTGATAACTACTCTGTGTTAGAAAACTCTCTGACACCAATTACCGAAAAGCTTTTTAGTATTTTAGTGGACAATCCAAAATCTCTAGCAACCAGAACTTCTTTTGTTTCAACATGGCTGACCTATCAGTCAGTTTTAAAGGATGCCCACAGCACATACAGTAACGATGAAGGTAGAACATTCACAGAATTGTGAATTTTTATTCATAAAACATCTTAAATTTATTTTAGCCATTTAAATAATAGAGTTTAATGTATATTTAGTCAAGCATTACTGGAGTGAAGGCTTAAGGAGATTAGAAATAAATGAATCCAATTAAAGAACATGTCTCTGAGATTTGATATGTCATAGGTATGAATGAACTGTTTGCACAACAACTGTAAAGAAACCATTAATGATTAATGATCTAAAGGAGGTTTAATCAGGAATCAATATTATAGGATATCTTTAAAAATATTTAATTTAAACAAATGATTTGTGTATCAGAAAGCATTGAATCACACTATTGGTTTTGTGGGGTCTTTTCCTGGGGAGTTCAAAGTCTGAGGTTCTACATCTATATGATTTACGGAAATGCCAGCAGATTTGCATTGGGCAGAAAAGGATTGAGCCTCAAACTGTGTCCTGATATTTGGCTTTGTGAGGTCTCCCCACAGAATATGGGGAACTTGAGTACATTGTGGTCTTCGTGATTGGGTCAGTTTTACCAACGTGGTGTGAAGATGGTTTATTTTTGGTTGTAGCTGTTTCTTTTTTGGTTCTGAAATTGGTCTGGAACTAAACAACAACTACAAAAGATGTACCCTTTTTACCCATTCTGCCAGGAGATAGTTTTAGGGTTTAAGAATCAGCTTTGCTGTGGATTTGAATAACCAGATGAGAAAGTTGTTCTTGTGAGAACAGTCTTAGGCACAGCTAAGGTGTGAGGTTGATGACATGTGCCACTGCTTCTCAGAAGACCTGGAAGAGTTCAGATGGACCACACATTGGAAAGGCATCAGCTTAATAAATAGCCATGAATTGCCTAGTATGAGGGATGGACAGGTGGGTAGATAGATGGGAAAGAAGCGCAGATGTGGAAAAGAGAGGCCAGAAGAATGCATGCATGTTATTGACTCTTTGTTGAAGTGTTTTAAAAAGCAACAAAAGTGGACTAATATGAATATTACTTTTTCTTTGTTTATATTTGAGACCTTGCCAGAAGAGATCCATATCAGGGGTTCATGTTGTGGAAGAAGAGAACGTTGTTGCTGTTTTGGTTTTGTTTCATTTGTTTTCCAGTTCTAGGGCTTGAACTCAGGGCCTGAGCACTGTCCCTGAGCTTTTTGCTCAAAGTTTGTACTCTACAACTTGAACCACAGCTTCACTTCTGGCTTTGTAGTTGTACATTGGAGATAAGACTCTCATATTTTCCTACCCCAGTTGGCTTTGAACCATGATCCTCAGATCTCAGCTTCATGAGTAGTAGTACAGATGTGAGCCACCAGCATCAGCAAATGTTGATTTTTTTAAAAATGTATTCCTGTTTTGAAACAGGCAATACAATCTCTCTCTCTCTCTCTCTCTCTCTCTCTCTCTCTCTCTCTTTCTCTCTCTCTCTCTCTCTCTCTCTCTCTCTCTCTCTCTCTCTCTCTTTCTCTCTCTTAGACCAGGACTTCAACTCTGGGCTTAGTGATCTTACTCAGTTTGCTTGCTCAGGGCTGGTGTTCTACCATTTATTTAAGCCAAGCCTCCATTGTGTTGCTGGTTAATTCAAGGTGGTATCCTAAATCTTTCCTACTTCCAAAGAAAAGAAAAGTAAAAATAAAAGAACAGAAAAGTAATGAATCAATAGAGTTTAGATCTTAAGCCTAACAGACTCACAAATATATTTATAACATTAATAATAAACTATACAATAAATTTTTTTTTGGGTCCGGTCATGGGGCCTGAACTCTGGGCCTGGGCGCTGTCCCTCAGCTCTTCAGCTCAAGGCTAGTGCTCTACCACTTGAGCCACAGCGCCACTTCCAGCTTTTTTCTTTTTGCTTATGTGGTGCTGAGGAATTGAACCGAGGGCCTCAGGCATGCAAGGCAAGAGCTCTACCTCTGAGCCAACTTCCCAGCCCTAGAATAATTTTTTCTTAAGCATAAACATTAACTTTCTAGTCAGGTACAGTGTAATGCACATGTGCAGTCTTGGAACTTAGAAGATTGAGAGAGGGAGATTTTTGAAGCCAGAGAATTTGAGGCCAGCCTGGTAGACATAGCAAGACCCTATATCTCAAAGAAAAAATAATCCTATGCTTGTTTCAGCAGCACATATACTAAAATTACAATGATACAGAGAAGATTATCATAACCACTGCCCAAGGATGACAGGCAAATTCATGAAGTATTTCAAAAAGCCTCCTTAGAACAACAAAACAGCTTCTTAGGATTTACTTTATTTGAACACTGATAAATGTGTTATTTTAGCTTACACAAATCTAACTTGTTTTAAGAAACCATGTGAAAGAAAACTTTTCCCTTTGAACTGTGCTAATAACTTAAGTTGTACTCTTCAAAAAAGTGAATCTGAAGTCACATAGTTCATAAGAAAACCTTCCCAGAAAGATAATTCTGTAAGAACAGAAGGGTAGAAAATAGATCAAGAAGTGGAATATGCTGCTACTGGGAAAGTTTGTGGACATTTGGACATGTAAACATTATAAAGGGTGTTCCAGAGAAGTTGAACCCGTGAGAAGATAAATTTAGCAGTGCTTTTTCTTTTGTATTTACCCTAAAAATAAAAAGAAAGAGGTTGGGGAGCCATTTTAATATGAGGTGAGAGTTCCTGAAATTGGCCTCAATTAGTATGTTTTCTAATAAAGTTATTTTTTGGTAACAAAAGTCATACATGTTTACTAAAGGAAAACCTAAGATATTGAAGTGAAGAGAGGAAGAAAACAGATTTTAAATTTATATCCCAGACATCTGCATTTAACATTTTAGTTCATAGCTTCTTGTTGCACCTATTACATGTTAACTTAAAAAGAGCAAAAAATTCACTCAATTATAGTATTTTTCATAAAATTGGAGTAAAAATATCCAATGACTGCATAACATTTTTATCAAATAGATTTACTACAATTTTGCAATTTATTTACTTCTTATTTCATTATTTCTAATGGTAAGAAATTATACTGCTAAGCAACTTAATATAAATGTAGATATTCACCTTTGATTATGACCTTACAATTCTAGAAGTAAAATTACTTGATTTACAAACATGGAGATTTAGACTCTTGATAAATATTACTGCTTACTCTTCAGAGTACTATTCTTCTCTCTCTCTCTCTCTCTCTCTCTCTCTCTCTCTCTCCTTTCTTTCCTTTATGTATGTCAAGTTTTATTTTCATAGAATTGGGAAAACTATATAGATAAGAGTATCTTACAGTTTATAGTTTTACAGAAAAATAAATACACCTGCATTTAGTTTCTTTATCGTATAGCCACACTTTCATATATTGGCCTAAAAAAGAATTCCTGTTTATAAGAAAAACAAATCTAATCAGGAATATAGTATATAGATGAGTACAAAGTGGAACACATAGAAAGCAGACAGAATAACTAAGTACCAAAAGCTTAGGAACAAAGTGTAACTCAGTCAGGTAATTGAGGGAGGGATGCTTCTGTGTGTAACAGCCTCTTTATGCAACACCACACTGAGAAAACAGAGCCTGGTAAACCATGCAGATTCAAACATCACTGTATCTTATCCTGCTCCAGGGGCATGCAACCCAAATGGTAAAGGCACACTCATTTATTTCCAATGATCTCATTACCTTTCGTCATAAAAATACTCTTTACTGGTAGGATGTGGTAGCACGTATCTTTAATCCTACCTATTTGAAAAGCAATGCTAGGATAATTAAGATCTGAGGCTAGCCTCAGGGAAATTCAGGAGAACTTTATCTGAAAAATAACTTTAAAAAATGCTTGGGGTGTGGCTCCTAATAGAGCACTAAGAAACTCGGGACTTGAGGTTTGAACTGAAACCTAGTATTGTCAAAAAGGGGACAAAAAGACTCCAGCCCCCAATCCCCTCCACAGGCAAAAAAAACGACACCCTGTTAATATAAAAGCAAAAATGGTCATTTCTCAATTGCTTTAATTCCTATAGGTTATTACTTGTAAGGTGAAAACTCTTAAAAACCATTTCTCAACAACTTGTACATGTTTACCTCCTTTTATTTTGCTGATGGAGATATCTGTATTCACTACTGATTTGTGGAATGTATTTCTCTTTAGAGTCAAAGCACTATTTCTCCTCCCTCTGCCAATAAAATTACAATAGTTCCAAGGTCCGTGGTTGGGGATGAAATTAACTTCAGTATTCTAGTTTACATGATATCAGGTATGCAGTGCCAAAATTATTATCTGATAAAATAAGTTTATTTTATTAGTGTGCATATCATTGAAACAGGAAAATATTGCTTATTTGATTTAGTATTTCACAGAATTTCTGAATGTTCATTATTAATTAGAATCTGGAAATTACATGAAAAATCTCATGTAAATTCAGCTTAGAGGATATTTCTTCCTAATTCAAATAGAACTAGGCTTTATTTATACAGAAATCAGGGATCAAGGTACAAGGCCAGTTGGGGCATAACAGTTCACAAAACTTGCCAGGAGTTGGTGGCTCATGCTTTCTAATCCTAGCTTCTCAGGAAGCTAAGATTTGAGGATCACAGTTCAAAGCCAGACCTGGCAGGAAAGACTCCTATCATCACTAAACTATTCAGAAAAAGCTAGAAGTGGTGCTGTGGATCAATTGCTAGAATGTTAGCCTTGAGCAAAAGAAGTTCAGGACAGTACCTAGATCCCAAGTTCAAGCCCCAGGAACAGCAAAACAAACAAAAAAAAAAATTGATCACAAAACTTCATCTTAACCAATGGCTGAGTGCAATGGTGGGTACCTTTTATCCAAGCTACAGGGAAAGTACAATGGTTGGATACATGCCTGTCATCCTAGCTAGCAATAAAAAGAATCACATATAAGACAACTACAATCCAGATGGGCTCAGGCATGTAGTGAGACCATATCTTGAAAATAATCAGTGCCAAAAAGGGACTGTTGGAATGACTCAATGGGTGAAGTACCTGCTTAGCAAGTATGTGGCCCTGCGTTCAGATCCTAGTATTGCCAAAACAGAAGTTGTATGGAAAGCTTAATTTTCAGTCATTTGGATTGACATGAGTCGGTGTTTATTGCAATGAACATTATTTTTATTACTCACTTACAAGGGAACTGTTCCATGTGAAATATTGTCTTAGACAATAAAAGAAAGCTATCATATAAGAAGGAATTTGGAGGTGGTGGTGAAGTTTCCACACTCGCCATATTGTGAGACAAAATAGTAGACGTGCTATGTGATTAGTAGAGTATGGACAGAACCCAAAAGAAAAGCAAAGAGAAATCACTGTGGCCATGCAGGGGAAGGAAAAAAGTGATCTACTTAGCTATATTTCACCTGTTTTATGTTTTTTTCCGTTATAAAGATGAATGATTATACCATATCATATTACAGATGGGTATATAAATATATACATATATATATATATATATGTATATATATATATATATATATATTAGTGCCTTATGTTCTGGTTATTGTTTGCATATTGTTCCCTCTTGATCTCAAGATGCAGTAATAAACTTCATGTCCAAACCATTCATTGCTCTTGAGGTGACATCTGAACCACCGAGCAATAAATGAAACTTTCAAAATAGAGGAGAAAGATGGTTTCTAGGCAAAGGCATTCTTTATGCAAAGTCAAAGACTGTGGGAGAACAACTCTTAGAAATGAACACAAATCCACTTATTAGAATGAGATTGTTCCATTTCGGAGGGTAGATTAGCCTAATTTTCCAGCAGATTGCTTTAGTGTGTGAGCTCCACACAGTATGGAGTTCTCCTTCTCATCTTTCTGCCTGGCTCCATGGGAGCCTGAAATTGAAGCATAAAACAGGTCTCTCTGCTGCTGAGGTTTACCCAGTGACTAGGCAGTCACTCTGCCAGAATATAAAGAAGGTCATGCACTTGATGTAACAGTGACTTTAGAATCCAATTAAAAAGTTTAGTGTAAGGCCCAGTCATTCCCGATTAATCGGATCACAGTTTAATGCAATCCTCTGCTTATTTCAATCAGTGCCCTTGGAGCCAAATCAGTTTTGTGTTTTGGTTTCCATGTTTTGCCTGCATAATTTGATTACCTTTAGCTCAATTCAGGAATCTGGAAGCATCTTTTAAGAATTGTCACATAGCATCCCGTCAACCAAGAAGCTCCCAACAAAAGCAAAAATGCATCTGTCTAAAATGCAAGTGGGAAAAAGTGTGTGAGGCTTGAACTGGGGCTTGAACTTGGCCTGGGTGTTGGCCCTGAGCTCTTTTGGGCAAGGCATGGGCTCTACCATTCAGCCACAGCTCCACTTGAGGTTTTCTGGTGGTTTATTAACCATGAGTCTCACAAACTTCCCTGTCTGGGCTAATTTTGAGCTTTGATCCTCTAATCTCAGCCTCCTGAGCAGCTAGTATTATAGGCATGAGCCACCAGCATGCTAAAGTATGGTTTTGAGAAGAAAAATTGTTACAAAGAATCTTGACTTAACTTGAACTATCAAAATAGTATTGATTGAATCATTGTACATTTATTCCAACTCACCTAAAGTTGCATATGTTAGTATAGCTATCAGCATTAAGACTATTCAAGGTGGAGGGGCTGGGAAGGTGGCTCAGTGGTAGAGTGCTTGCCTTGCATCCCTGAGGCCCTGGGTTCAATTCCTCAGCACCACATAAGCAAAAAGAAAAAAGCCGGAAGTGGTACTGTGGCTCAAGTGGTAGAGCGCTAGCCTTGAGCTGAAGAGCTGAGGGACAGCGCCCAGGCCCAGAGTTCAGGCCCCACGACCGGACCAAAAAAAAAAAAAAAGACTATTCAAGGTGGAATATAGGGATAATAATGCAAATTTCTCTGAAGCTAAGGGTAGCATCTGGTGGTGAAGAACCTTTCAGTTAGCTCTGGCTGGTATCAGCCTGAGTTTTTCTTATAACAAGTAGCTTTGACCTCATGAGTGGTTGTGGCATGATGCACAATGGTTTCATTCTTTTTCTATTGGTATTTGAGTTATTCCAAATATGTACATGAATATTATAAAGTTTAAAATAGACTCTGGTGGTTTATTCTGCAAATTGAGTGATTTCTGAATGTCCATAATGGAATAAGAGGATTACTTTGGCCTATGCAAATATGGGTGAGACTAGCAAGCTCCCCAGTCTTAGAAATGCAAAATTACCCATGTCACATTGCTTTCAGCACTGAGCTACCTAAGGTGTCTGTAGCTTTTGTGCACATCCTTAAAAGGAG